AAGTTTTACCTAACTGAGAAACCTTATACTACCCCCTATCATCCGTCTGGAAGTGTGAACATTTTAATAGGACTTTGCATAATTTATACTCTGCCAGTGTCCAGGAATTACTGCTACATCTGTAAATGACCCCAGTAAAATAAAGTATGTTCATTGTACCGTGTTGAAGGCAGTGGAGAGAATCTACCATCAGAAGAGCCCCACTCCAAGTAGCAGCCCACATGGCGTAGAAATATCGGCCTTGGAACATAACTCGTCAAGTGACGTGATTTGTTATTCCTGAGTTATTTCTTCATGTTGCCACAGTAGCAATTCATGAAAGAACATCATTTCAACTGCCAAACATGGTGGTAGTAGTTTTATGTTCTGGGGCTGCTTCGCTGCATAGGACCTAGGCGACTTGCTGTGATTGATGGAACAATGCATTCTGCTCTCTAACCGAAAATCCCAAAGGAGAATGTTTGACCATCAGTTCGTGCCCTTAAGATCAACTGCACTAAAGTTAAGCAGCAGGACGATGATCTGAAAGACACCAGATAATCCACCTATGTTCAGCCAAAATGAGTGTCCTAGTCAAAGATCAGACTTAAATCTGATGCTTTGGCACAACCTTAAACAGGCTGTTAATTTGAAAAAACAAACAAACAAAAACCCTCCAGTATAACTGAATTAAAACAAATGGGCAAAGAAGAGTTGACCAAAATCTCTCCACAGTGATGTGAAATACTCATTGCCAGTTATTGCAGTTCTTGGCACAACCGGTTTTTTGAGGTTTAGGGGGCACTTAACTTTTTCACACTGGGCCATCCATGTGGGTTTAGATAGCTTTTTCCCTTAACAGATGAAAATGCATTTTGGGTTTAGTTGCAGTACCTTTGTCTCATATTCAAATTTGTTTGATGACCTGAAACATTTGAGTGTTACAACAAATTAAAAACTAACAAATTAGGAGCAGGCGGGGAGAGTTTTTCACACCAGGCTACATATAGCAGAGCAACAGTTTGTTCTTTCTTTTTGCACCTCACCTGGATATCAATTGCGATTAGCTGCTTTGTTTATGGGTTTAATACATTTAACACACAAAATAGAACCTGCTTGTAGAAAAATGGTACCACTAGTGTTACTACTTGTTCATATGCCACTCTTTTTTGCCTTTATGTTTGTAGCCTTTCTTCATTTCATTTTTAATAACAAACATTTGATGATTTTTTTCCATTCAACTTTCCAATAAAGCTTATACTGGGAAATAACAAAACAGTTAAAATCATGTAGGTTTCTGGATACAGAATTAATTACATTTTTTTATTATGGAAAACTGGCATTCACTTAAATAAAAACGACAAATGTTACATGTGATACGCTGCCCAAATAAATCATGCCTTATATCCCACATTCAAGTCTTAAGAATTTAAGGTTTGGCTCTAACTTGCTATAGCAGATGAAACTGCATTTGGGAAAAAAAAAAAAAAAACCCTGCTCATTTAAGAATTACACACGAAACAACTAAACAGACACACACACACAGATACACGAGGCTTGTTGGCTGGATTTGATGCTCTTTCAAAGTGAGGATTAACAGCAGTAACGCCTCCTCTTTTCTCTTTCCTTGGAACTGTCCTGTGCTCAAGGCCAAGAACAAGTCATGGGACTTGCAGAACATATCAAACCTGAGCCAAGTGCTCTCATCATGTTTTTTGTTCTTTTTTAAAAATCCCTCTAAGGCACATGTGGTTGCCGATTTTGTAATGTCAAAGTCAGTGACATGCTGTAATTTCGTCCATTTGGTAATTCAAATAGGTGCAAAGGATAAAAAAATGATTCCAATAGTAGGTACAGTTCTTTTAATCTCAAGACATGAAAAACTCAAATTCTCCAAAGTGGATTGAAAAACTATCCAAACAGTAGATGTTTACAACTTATTTAATAAATGAATACCTTGAAGATTAAAATGAATACTAGTAGTCGATAAAAAGGTAGGCGAGTTACTTTTAGTGTATATAACTGAAAATGAAAGCACTCATGCCTTTGCTTCTATATTTTTGTACATTTCAAAATCGTAACAAGTTTTCTGTTTGGACAAGATGTAAGTGACCAATAATCACAGCTTTTTGTCTCATGCCCTCTTCTTCTGTTCTGAATGTGTTGTGTGCAGAATAAAGTACTCTTTTCTGGAAGAACTATAGCAGTTAGTGTCCTCTACAGTTTGCCACTGTTCATTCTGTCTCTACACAGTGGATTTTTGTACACTACATGCTGTAGGCTGATACAGAATAGTTTAGCTCAGGACATTCTCAGTAGATACATAGTTTTCAACTCTTTTGTGGAATTAACAAAAGAGCTATATTTCATTTTGCTCCATGGCTGTCAGCATGACCATTGATACAGGCTGTTCTTCGAAGTGTGAATGTTAAACTTACGCAGGGAACATGTTTGGAGGTTTTGGAAAGCCTTGTGTTGCATATGGAATTTACAGTTCAAACAAGAGAGATGAGTTGTTTAAGTATTAAATGAAAAAAGCACAACTATTACTTTAAGTCACTTGTAGTGGACTAAGCTAATCCCAAATTAACCCTCACCAAACCCTCTTAGTTGGACTTATGATTGCAACAATAATCCCAGTCATTTGAAGCTGATTTAGATGTACTAAAACTCAAATTGGCAGTATAATGTTAACTTTGAAAGAGAATCCAAATTTGCCTTGAAGTATAACTAGTTCACTTGTGTTGTCAGTCCACTGAGAAGAAGAAAAGCTTGGTTAGGAGGATGCTGGGATGACCTGGTTGAACTTCTCAAGTCTGAGCCACTCTTGTGTAGGAACAGCTTTGAAAATGTACCGCAGGTAATGATTGCACAAGCAAGACATGATATGACAGCAGATACTTGCAAGAACGCAACACAAGGCGTTAAGCTTGCAGAGGTATTTGTGCAGGATTAGCTTGCTTAATATTTTCCCCATCACATGCACATAGTATATTACCATCAGGTCGAGTTCCTTTATCATCTCGCTGAAGCAGTAATCTGAATGTTCAAGTCTGCAAAATAGATAAAATGTATGTTTTCAGGCATGACGTCTAATTCTTCAGATCAATTGCATTAATCAGCAATAAATACACACAGGTATTGCAAATTGTACCTTTGTGATTTGCAGTAAGTTAAGTTAAAGGTTAGTTGGGATACTGGCAACTTTTTTCCTCCAATCCCTCTTTCGTCAAATCCCTCAGATGGAAATGATAGGCTCGATTTGCTCAATGGCTGCCAAGATAATGGCTACAGACGAGTAACAGAAAACCCTTGACAGTGTAAACACACAGCTGCTATCTAAACCTCTGCTGCGTTTGGGCCGGAGCCGCTATTGACTGGTGTAATCTGCTGCATAAATCTACAGCTTGGCCCTGTCTGGCTGCTGTCTGGGTTCCGTGCACTTGGACAAAAGCGCCGGACACCTTGCCCACTGACAAAGGGCCTAGCCCTAATTGGAGTAGACAAGGCTTGCTGATGGAGCCTTTTTAAGCAATTGAACTTGGTCAATGAATCTTAGGGGACCTAATACAACATAAGGGATAGGCAGTTTGACTCCAACAACGGCAGTAGCACCAAACTGTCCTGTAGCTCCCCGTCAGCCTAAGCACTGAAGTTGGGCTATGACCCATAATGACTTTTTATCAAAGTACAAAACTGAAGGTGTTGATCTTGTGCCACAGTAGGGTTGTAGATGGGCCGTGTTTCATTGTTATTGTGTAATTCAGCTTTGCTTTTTAAAGGACCTGGCGCCATTCCACTGTTTTGTTTTCATGTATTAGAATAGAGAACAGGCCTCACTGTGTCTCCTGACCAAACCGTTTTGGATGGAGGACAAGCTGTTCTTCGTTTGAAAGTTATCAGGAAGGAGACTGGGTTCCTTTTAGAAAGCTATCAGGAATGTGTATGGGAAACCTGTGTGGGCCACTGGAATCTCCTCAAAGAGAAGACTATAGGACAAGTGCAAAGCCCTCACCACGGGAGAGAGGAACTGGTCTTTGTGATCAGAAATGCCATGGAAAAAGTGCGCATTGTTAGCAGCCCAACAGATTTTGTCCCTCTGGTCGTGTGATTCACCTACAAGGTCTCGGGCTCACTGACCCCCCCCTTGCTGGCTGTTAGAATGCCCACACAAGTCAGTGACACTACATTTTCTTCACAAGTAGCCAAATAGCTTTGCTGACCTCAGATTCATAATTTTGCTTCTGTATCTTCTGTGCAACTTTTTTCAATAACTGTGCAACAATATCAATTATTGTTTCAATGTTTTCTAGTTGGACTTGACCAGACAGATCCACAATTGTTATGCTATAAGTGTATTGAAAATTAAAGCATTTTTATTCAGATCATTTTTCTGTAATTTGATATTACAAGATGAAACTTTTGGTGTATTGTCTCTAGTTATTGTCACGCATTGTAAGGGGCCTCTTCTAGAGCTGTGATCGCCATCTTGTGGTAGTTTTTTCCCTCTCTTCTGGTCGCCTGTTGATCAACGGGAAATTTAAACTGATGATGTGAAAAATTTAATAAATGCCTGCTTATTTGCTCTTTTTTCTTTGTCTCATGCGTTAGGAAGTTTCCAAGGATCAAAATAATTCAAGAATTGAATTATTAAATTGCAGCCAACATTTGAGGCATTTTGAAATCATTTCATTTTTATAGCAAGTAACACGTTATGATTTTCTTTTTTCCTTCTTTTTTAAGGACACAATGTATGTGCCACACATAAAAATGCCTAAGTTAGCGCCCGCCTACATTCTTCATGTAAACACCATTAGAAAAGGAGTCCTTTTCTAATTGTGTTTACATGAAGAATGAAGATAAAAATACTGAAGTCAATACAACAAATGCAGTCTAAAAAAATTAAAAACAAAATGTAAGCCGACTTTTTCCATTTAAAATATGAATTGGTTTTTCTTTTGCGTTTTGTTCGGCAAGTCCCTTTCGAGACTTCGTAGTTCACAGCGTTGTTTCCATAGAGACAGAAATTCGTCTAGACGCAAGAGGATCTTTCAGCCAAGTTCTTCTAAGCTTGCGAGTATAGCACTAGTGCTGTATCCAGGTAGGACATTTTAAATAATTACGTATAACTTAACGGTAAATATGAGTACTTTGGATAAAAGTATTACAGTAAATGGTTTCAGCAACTGAATATTAGCGGACCGTCTAATGCCTTCATTTTCACTGCTCTGACAGATAAGTAAATCGTCATGCTGGAGCTGGATGAGCCATTTAACCCTGACGAAACTGAAGAAGAACAGGAAAATGTTTCATGTCATGAGGAAGAGGTAAAGGTGTGGGCCTCGTTCTAAAAATACAGCACATGCATGTGTGTTTCCGCTATTCTCCATTCTCTTCATTTACTATTTTTTGTCCAATTCTGCATACATTCTATCACTCAGAGAGGTGGAAATTAGCAGCTATTTTTCAGGGTAGACACCTTAATTTACATCTCTACCACAAAAGCATCAGGATGATTCGTTTGAGAGCCACACGTGAGCTTAGAGTGACGCTGAACAGGACAGCGAAGCTAAACGGATAATAGATAGAAGATAAATTATGCACAACATAAGCTGACCCTCCGTAAATCCACTTACTGCCTTATGACTTATACATCCCAACTATTGCTTTTTCATATAGTGAGTATGGATGGGATTTGAGAAATTCTTCCAAATAAAAAGAAATGGTACCAAATTGTCCACTTCATTGGACTAATATCTCTTTAAAAGTAGTAATGCCATTTATGAATACTGATTAGAAAACAAAACGATAATTGCAACTCAGTGACCCCAAAACCTTTGAGCTTTTGTATGTGTGAGTCACATACAGTACAGACCCCTTTTTCCTTACTTTGTTTTTCTACTTTTGCATTGTCCCTGAACGTCTGCTGGCCTACTTTAAAATTAATCAGAAATCAATAAGGAAACTGATTGACCCATAAGCAGAATAGACAATGGATTTACTATCAGTAAGAGTTATTGCTTCACTTTTGTCCCCACAATGCTTGCTAATATTGCTTGCTTACATTAACATTTTCCTTTTGTGGCGAAAGCAGACCTAATAATTAACCTGTTTTCTGACCGCAGGCTTCAGATAATTTCCCACCAGCCCTTCTAAGCTACTTTGAAACATCAAAAACTAGAGCGGCAGTTTGTGAGAAACTTATCCTTGAGGAACTTGAAGGTAAGTAATAACTTACAGCATTTAACTAATGTGTACGGTGATAAAGCTGAGATTATCTCCTTACCGTTTTGGATTTTGTCTGCACCGTCTTTGAATTCCATGTCAGACTTCACACCATCAGATTCCACTGATAATATGATGAGGCTGTCAAATGAAGTCAGCAAAGATATGGTGAAAGTGAATGAACAGGTAAATTGGTCTTAATGGTCTAATCTCAGTTGTTTTATTACATCAAAAATATAATGTCATGTGGCCTAATTTTTAAAAATGATTTTTTACTGATACAGGTGGGTGGTGAAACAGAAAATGAGGAAAAAAAGGCTGATGGGTCCCTTCTTCAAACACGAATAGTGACACAAAATCCTTTGACTCACAATATGTCCATGTGGCCTAATAATGAAGGTAGATAACATGTACATGTGTATTGTTTGGAACATGACAGCATTGTTGTAGTTTTGCTTCTGTACATCACCACAATTGATTGTAGATCAAACAACCAGCATGTGCTTGAAGTACACAGGCTAAACTGGACTCAAATGTGTTTTGAGTGTTTTATGATGAAGTCAACAGGTGAATTCGTGGCAAAGTGTTACTAATGATGCGGCCGTGGGTCAGTGGGGGTGAAGGGGGAATTGGCAGGTTGCAATGGGGATGGAGCGGTTGCATCTGGGAAGAAAAGAGAACAGGGTTAAGAAGGCGCCAGACGCAGGGTATTTAGCGGAGGTGGTTACTGATAGTCAGGGTGAGCTTGGCTTTGAGGGAGAGGCGGTGAGAATCCAGGTGAGTATTGACAAAGGCTGGCTGACCTGAGTGCCGCTGTGTCCGAGGTGGTGAGTGGTGGCTGGAGGGCAGGCAGGTGAGGTTCTTTGTATTTTTCCAGAATGCGAAGATAATCCAAGGAGAGCTGAGGTTGAAGGCAATGGCAAAGAAGGTCCAGGAAAACTGCAGCACGGGAAACCAAAGTAAACGACAAAACAAGTAGCAAGAGCATGAAAAACCTTAGCGCCGATACCAACGTGAGGTCATTGACAAACTGGCAGCAAAGGAGAGTCTGAGCGGAGCTTAAATCCTCAGCCTGATTACCCAGAATCAGCCTCAGGTGTGCAGGACTGCAGGAGAGATGATGGCTCCGCCCAGGGGTGGAGACCAAGGGACTCAGGTGCCCGATGGAACTTTCCAGTCAAACCTCCAGATCCTGACACAGACTTTCTTTTTTAATCCCAGAGGTTTTACAAAATCTGTTAAAGAATTACAGCCCTTTTCATACGCAGTCCCCTATTTCCCCCAGATTCAAATTTATTGGGATAATTGATTGACAAGCAGTGGCCATGTGAGGCCTGATCATTTTTTTTTTATTTAAAATGAGGCACATATAATATCTCAAGTAAATTCAATGTGTTTAATTTTTGTTTTTATAGCTTTATACTGTAATTTCAATTATTTATAATACCAGGCCAAAAGAGATGTTAGCACAAGTGAGTGAAAAAAGTGAAGAAAAAAAAACTATCAGAGAGACAGCCAAAACTTTAGAAATGGCCAGAAAAGTGAACAACTTTGAGGTTACTGAAGTTCTCATGTTGCATAATACACAAAATAAAGGTAAAAGGTAACATAGTTTGCCACAAGATGTCACTATTTTCATAGAATTTGCTGTCACTCACGACTTCAGTAAGGTGAAAAGGTAGATAATCCTGTCTTGTGAATAGACTTTTAAATTTGCAACTGAAAGCATAAAGCTAATGGTGATCAAGCTTCCTGGAGGTATATGTTAGTTAAATCATATATAATGTAGATGGACTCAAAATCACTGCCACGTCACTGATGTAAATTTAGAAAAAATGTAAAATAAAGAAGTTAAAATAAAATGCATTGCCTCTCATTTCCCTAAGCATTGCCTTACACATTTATGGAAGATTAAATTTGGATCATTCTTTATGTAGGAAATTTGGTTGTTATTTGTTATTAGTGCATAACAATCAATGGAGAGGCAAGGCATGTCTTACTTTGAGCCTGAATTGAACATCATATGCATGGCTTTCCTTTCTTGCTTGCTGAACTATTGAAGCCTTACATTTTTGTATTTGTCTTAGATGGAGCTGGAACAGATCGATGTTGGGAGACTGAGAAATATTTGGCCCGGGACTTTAGCAAACATGACATAGCACAAGAGAAACACTGTGATGAGGAGATTCATAAAAACAAGGAAAGGCAAAAAAGAGAAATTAACTTCCAGGAGGAGCTGAGGAAGATAATGGAGGCAGAGAAAGTAAGTTACTTATGACTTTTTTTTCTCCCCTCGACATAGTACTTTTGGATCCAGATGGTAGAGCAGCTGTCCCATAATTACTACGAATAAACAATAAGCTGGTACCAAATGTCCACATACGTAATAAAACATGCAGCTGCCCCCACCAACTCTTCAGGGTAATTACATAACCCAGCCTTACTTGGATATGGAGGAAGTGGAAATGAGGCCTCTGATAGCCTGGTGCACCACAGAGCCATTGTTTATGTTTATGGATGATACCTTACTTAGTAAGTACACAGACTTAGTCCACAGACCGATCAAGCTCACCACAGAGGATATGAAAGGTTTGACTGTAATTGTCCACTGGAGCAAAAATTGTGTGTCTTTAGGACACTGTGACACACTGAGAAAACCATCCCCAAAGACACAGTGGGCAGAGAAGCAGAAGATCATCATATCAAGAAGAGCCTGAGTAAATGTGGTTATCCAGCTGGGTATTTGACTACGCTGGGAAGACAACTAAGCAGTGCTAAAGTGTCATCTAAAGTGAAGACCACTGGTGATTCCTTATGTGTCTGGAGTGTCGGAACAACAGTGACACATGTTTTCATAACATTGTGTCTCTTTGGCTTTCAAATTCCAAACAAAACTCTCAAAAGTTTGTCCACCTCGAGGATTGTGTCCTCTGCCTTAAACAGAGTAATATCGTGTACCCAGTTAAGGACCAAGAGGATTGAGATGAATTATGTAGGTAAACTAAACAACCTCAAGCTTAAGAAATGGCACAACACAGAAGAGATAGCTTGTCTATCCTGGACTCTACAGTCTATTTACAGCATTAAAGCAGTGGTCACGCTTTCACTGGCACATGGAGGAACACTGATTTGAGCGTAGTGACAAAGGAACCCTAAAACCAAACATAGTTTACACAAAGATCACATTGGGAAGACAGGTCAGAGAGGTAGGCTGATAAGAAAAACAACGAAAATACACAACATGAGGTGAGAGGAGGAGAAAAACGAACTCCACGCAGACTGAGCTCCTAATGGGAGAACAGTTTGAGAACAGAAAAAATAATAATTAGGATAGATTGCAGATTATTGTTGTGTAAGCTGTAGAGTACTGCAGCATTTTGGTAATTAGTGCAGTGTATTGTGATTGCAGTCCTGTGCTTCTACAGTAACTGTGGCAGGAGCAAGATTGGTGCATGAGTTATTCTCTCGCTCCTTTAAAATGAACTTAAACTCCTGCATCGTAACCATTTTTGACAATTTCTGTCCCTTCTGTAGATTATTCCAGAAAACCAGGCCAGCATATTTAAAAGCCTTTCCCTCCCCAGTTCTGTTCTGATTCTCAGGACAAACATTTGTATTATGATAATATGATAGGCTGGTATGTATTCATTCAGATGCCTCAGTATTAGATGTTTCATACCCCTAGATAAGGGTACGGAGGGCAAACTGTCACAGAGAAAATACAGAATGCAGCAAAAATGGCTGTATTAATTAACCCTGTTGTGTTTTATTTATTCTGGTTCCAGCTGCATGAAAAGGAACTGAAATTGATGGCGAAAAGAGCCCAGGAAAAACTTGAGCAGGAGATGCTGCTTCAGCAGGTAATTTATTTTTTATTTTTTTCAAATTTGTGTGCAGTGTGACGTAGTGCACAGGCTCACCATTGTATTTTTAGACATTTGATATACTTTTGGGTATTTGTTATCAGCGCAGCATTTGGTAGAATCAATTTACTGAACATACTGGATTTATAAATCAGTGGTCCTCAAAAACACACCTTAAATTTAGTACTTATAGATGCTTTTTTCCATTTTGATTGAATACTTTTTGTGATGTTTGTAAATTCCATGTAGTTTGCTTAATATATTTCAAAGAATAGATTAAAGAAATGAGGCAACTAGTTTTCTTGTAACTCTATAAATATCATCTCTAATTAGGAACTGATTGGTAACTTACAAAAACAAGTGGAGCAAGAGAGGAGGATGATTGAGGAAGAGCAGAGAAGGAAAAACGAAGAGAAGAAAAGGAAAAATGAAGAAGAGAAAAGGAAAAATGAAGACATGCAAGCGAAAAAGAAGCAGGAAGAGGAAGACAGAAGGAAAATGAAGGAGGAAGAAGAGAAAATTAAGAGTGAAGAAGAACAGGAAAGGAAAAAACTGGAAGAGAGGAAAAGATTGGATGAAGAGGAAAAGAAAAACATGATAAAATTAAGACATAAAGAAGAAAAGAAGCAAACGGAGCTATGGGAAAGGGAGGAGGTAAAGAAGAAAAGGGAAGAAGAGATTAGAAAGAAAGAGGAAGAGAGAAAAACTGAAGAAATCAAGGATGAGGAGAGGAGAAGAGAGATACAAGAGGTGGAGGAGATAAAGCAAAAGCAGAAGGAGAGAAAGAAAAACAGGAAAAGTGAGGACGAGGAAACAAGAATAATGGATGTCAAAAACAATGTGACAGAGGTTTCTGGAAGGAAGATGACTGAATATCAAAAGACAAAAAATAAAGAAATAAGAAGTATTAAGGAAGAAAAGAGAAAAGATAACGGAGGTGAGGAAGAGAAGACAAGAAAGGAAGTTGTGAGAAAGACTACAGAGCATAAGATGGAAAGAAATGAGGTAGAGCAAAGAGAAAAGCCTGAGATGAAGAAAAAGATGTTGAATGAAGACATCAGGGGAAAAGATGAGAATAAAAGAATAGATGACAAAATGCAACTCATGGAAAGTGAAGAAAAGAAAAAGAACGATGAGGAGAGTTTGGAAAATCAAGATATGATGAGGAAGGAGGAAAAGACTAAAACAAACGAAGAAGAGCTGATTACAATGAGAATGGAAGAAATGAAACAGAATGAAGAACAGGAACACAGAAACATAGATGAAGTAATAAAACTCAAGCCAGAGATTTGTGAGAATAAAGACCAGAACACAAAAATGGAACATGAGAGGAAAAAAGATAAAGAAAAGAAGCAAGAAGAGTTGCAGAAACACCAAGAGGGGCTTAGTATAGGAAAAAAGAAGGATGGGACGGGAAACAAGGAAGATGCAAAGGATTATGGAAATGAGGTGAAGGAAAACATACAAACAGAAGAAAGGAAAGTAGAAGAAGAGGTGAAAGAACGGGTCATAAGTAAGAATGAGCTGCGAGACAAGGAAAGAGAAAATAGCAGCATGCAATCTCAGAATCAGAATACTGGCAGGATTTCACACCCAGGAGGCAACACCACACGGACCTCAAGTGCTGACCCACTGCAGAGTGAATCTACAGCTGACCCCGTCAGCTCTGAAACTGCAAAACAACAGAACCTAAACAAGAACATCAGTCTGATCCCTGTGTATAAAACCAGTAACCGGCAAGATCTTGCAAAGCCTGGCACTTCTTCTTGCTTTTTGCCTGCAGGCCTTCCAGAGCACACAGAGCAGAAGAGGCTGTTGTGGATGAAGGAATGCATCCCTTGGTCTAAATTGTCCTGCCAGAACAGGAGGAAGCAGAAAGGATCAGTCCGGAGTAGGACAGGGCCAAGGAGGGTGGCAGAGGGTAGCAGTCTGCCTCCTCTGTGCCCACACACTCTGCTTCAGTCCACAGGCTGGAGATCCCTGCAGGAGGTAACATACTGTGTGCTTAGCTCTGATCCAGGAACACTGATGAAAATGTTTTGTACTTAAATGTTTGTTGTGTTCGGAAAGAATATTCACACATAGAACCCATCATTTTCATTTGAGATCCAGAAGCGCTGAAATATGTTTGGCTCTCTTTCAGGTTACCAGCGTGACCTTGGAGGACTTACCTGGCTGCAGCCTTTTTACCCTTGCCCAGTGTACTCAACTTCAGTCGCTCACCCTCAGACGCTGTGGACTGAAATCATTGGAAGGTATCAACCACTTACAAGAGCTCTGGTACATTGACCTACAGGTGATTATATAGTTAAAAAATAACAAAAAAACTAGTCATTACTGTGATTTTTTTTTCATGTTGTTTCAGTCATTTCAGTCACAACAGCTTTGCCTATTTTTTGTTTTAGGAAAATGACATTTCATTTGTGGATTGTGAAAACATGAGCAGCTTACGAGTTCTTCAACTTGCCCACAATAAGCTGACTTCCATCCATGGTTTAAATGGTGCTGAGAATTTGGATATTCTTGATCTCTCGCATAACTCCATCACCCGTATTGGTGAGAACTCACGAAACACTCACAGCTATTGAAAAAAGCCCCAAAAAAGAAAAACTGATTAATTTTTTCATCAGTATAATGTCTGAAAGTGTTTGTGTTTTAAATACTTATTTGTTAACAATGTGTGTGTAGCAGCTTGAGATAACGCTTGACTTATCCGAACACCTGGTAAGTCTAAAATCCTCAAAAAAGAGCAGCATTCACTTAACCTGAGAACAGGCATGATGCCATCATGTTCCATGTAAACACAGAAAGTAGTATGAGTGTGAAGCTTCAAAATAAAAAGAGTCTATGGAGTGTATCAAATGCATTTGGACTGCTTTATGTTTAACAAAATGAATGAAAGTTATGGCTCTTAACACCAGAATCCTGGTAAAAGACATGCTGCAGTTACAATACATTGCTCACATATATTTCATTTGAAATTCTAAAGGACTACATTCAGAGCTTATCAAACCTGAGGAAATAAACGTGAAAATGGAAAAAAAAAACAGTATCTAAAATACCCGAAATCTTTCATGCAACATTTTACTTATTACCTCACATGCTAAAGGACTATCAGAGATGAACATCAGGAATTCCAAGTTTACCTCCAGGTTTAACTAAACTTCCCCTTCTGGTCAAAAAATCAATGTAACGTAATCTAACACAAGAGGGCAGCATCTCTCTTCGTTCCTGCTGAGGACTTCACACCATTCACTCTGCAGTGAAAACTGCAATTTTGACTTCATGTACAGACTGTACTTTTTTTTTTTAGACTGTATCATGTCAACTTTTAAGACTCATGCTCCGCTTTCTGCATATATTCTGTCTGCTTCCTAGCTGGTCTGGAGTCTGTAAGGAGGCTACAGAGGTTGTCAGTGAACCACAACCAGCTGATCAACACCAAAGGGCTGAGAGATGTATATACACTGCTTCACCTGGATTGCTCTCACAACCACCTGGCCAACGTGGAGGGTCTGGAGAACAGTGCTCTGCTTCACACACTGGATCTAAGAGGAAACGGCCTTACTGAGGTAAAAACTCACGGCAGATGACTGGAAGCACTAAATCTAATATCACTGTTCACTATTGCAATTTTGCAAGAGCTGCAGAGAAAGTGGTGTGGGTGTTTGAGACAGGTGATGGGCTCTAATTAGCCTAAAATCCTTTTGCTTTTATCTACTATGTGCCCTTTTTATTGAGAAACAATTCCCCTTATTCCAGAAGTTACGTTTAGTGATAAACGATTGTCAAACCTTCAAAAAATAAAATTCAAACCAGGCAAGTATGACAAATGTAAATAAGGTGCTTAATTTCAATAAAAAAAAGGAAGCTGATCCATCAGATCTAATCCAAGAAGTACCTCAGTCGAACACATGCTGTTGTTTGCTAATTCGCGTTTCTCAGCTGTGAAAATAAATTTTACCTGGCCAAATTTCACATTTTCTCCAGTCCAGCAGATGTGCTGTTAAAAATGTATATTATTGCACACATGTGATAATGGCCCACTCTATCCTCAGTAATCTTTCAGTCACAGATTAGCTATGCTTGTGTTTGCCAAGCCTGAAAGTTTTATCACAGTGCTTCACAAGCAGTGTGAAAATGAACCTGACGAGCTTCGCTTGTGGCAGGCACTCATAGCAGTAGGCATAGCAGGGCTAAAACAACTGACATTGATGGACGAGGTCGTTTCGTTGCTACAGCAGGAGCAGCGGTGTGAAGTTAGTCTAACCTCACAGTGTGATGGGTGTTAACTGACGACTTTGTCCTGTTGGTTCATCAGCCCCTGAGTCTGAACAACCAGGTCCTCCTCAGAGAGCTGTATCTGGATGACAACAGCATCTTCTCCCTTCACGGCCTCGCTGCCTGCTGGCTTCCTCTAATGCAGCACCTCTCTGCAGCTCAAAACGGGTATCCAGTATTCATCCAGTACTACTTGCCATCTGTCTTCGCCTAAGTTTTGTTATGTGATATATATTCAAAGTAGAAAATAACACGTGCAACAATTTTTTCTGGCTTTTCTTTCTTTCGAAAATGTAACTTGATATAAAAAATTGCAATCAGTAGGTTCTGTAAAACCACGACGAGTCAAAGCCACACAGTCACATAAATTCAAAATGCTTCTGTGCTTAACGGTGACATGAGCGATGCATTGAGATGTGGTCTAGCTTCTAATGTAATTTGTCTCTTATTTTCCTAGAATTACTCAGCTGCCCTCCATGTCTAATTTTGTGTCCCTTGAAAATCTGGATCTTAGATACAACTGCCTGTCAGGTAACATGTTTTCTTTATAAAATGGTGAATGGGCTGTGCTTGTTTAGCGCTGTTTTACCTTAGTGGTTCAGCAAACGTCTCTTGTTCACTGTTATGCAAGCGCTACTCCTAATGGAGCATCGCCTGCTCTGTTAGGAGCAGCTTGGCCTTCATTGTTTTGCTCAGGACAGCCCGAGTATAGAGCTGCTAATCCTGTGATTAGTGGTCAACCTGTTTTACCACCTAAGCCAGTTTAAAACCTGTGGTTTTTCTTCTTCTTTCAGCTGAACTATTGAACTATTGCCTTTATATTTTGTTGATCTTATTTCGGTGCCTTGTTTAAAATTTTGTAACTTTGTAACTTGGATATAAGTTCACTACACACCTCTGCTTATTTCATGTAGGTTGATATAGTTTGTAAGGTGGAGTTATATTGAAACTGAAGAATATATTGAAAAACATGTCATGCTCTCTTTCAGACCTGCAGAATGTGTGTGAAAATCTTGAGGGATGTCAGTTCCTGTGTGAAATCCACCTCACAGGGAATCCTCTTCAGCAGGAGAGTGGCTGGAGGTAGGGTGAGCACTGGACAGAGTAAGAAAATGACATGGGATACTGTCTTTTTAGAACTAAATATGTTGTTATCTGTATGTATCTGCTTTCACGACCCATCATGCAGTGATAGTGCATTGCGCTAGTTTCAGGAATCTTGAATTTTCTGGCTGCCTCTCGTTGAGGCACATTTTCCTCACCTGCTCCACAGTTTCAAATCAAGATATAGTAATTAGAAATTTCTGTTCTTTTTGGAAATTATTTGGATAGAAGTTCCAGTTTCTGCCTTTTTTGCTCTTAAATATCACTCGCTATGATGGGTGATCAAAGGAAAATACCACTGAAAAGTCAGTATTTGCCTATCCAAAATTTAGTCTGTGGGCTCAGGTAGTCTAAACATTCCAGCTGAACACTGGTCTCCCTGTCCACTTCCAGGATTACCGCTCTGATCTGCATTGCCTATTAGATTACCAACATCTGTATGTGTGTATGCCACACTAAGTGGTCATAATTTCCAAAATATTGATACAGGAGAAAAATCAATTATCTTTTCATTGTCAATTTGCTCATTCACTTACATTGCTTAAATATTTTACCAGTGTTAAGGCAGTTGCAATGAGTTTATATGAAAAATATGCAATGAGCACTTATATTCTTTGAGGTTCTACTGGGATGTCATGAGCGGTGATGTCAGCTGTTACAGGTTTGCAAAGTTATTTGGCTCCTCAGAGTCAGTTACACCCAGCAAAATAACCAAAATATGAAAAACTATACTAGTTTTGGAAACTTTTTGCTTATTTAATAGTCAGATTTTTATCATTGTTCATATGTTGAAGTTACTGCCCAGCAGGTTCAATAAAAACTTCAATAAAAACAAAACAAAAACAAATGTTCTGTTAAATTTTTGCCAGTACCACTGCCAATGTTGGTTTCCATAAATGGTAAATGGCAAAATTTAACGTGTGATTAAAAAAAATACAGGAAAAAAAGCCCTTAAAAATTTATATTCATTTTAAAATGGTACATTGTACAAAATGAACATAAAAGTGATTTTTTTTATCTTTAGATTGAGTTTTTAGAAGATTCTTTGCTGGAATAGGTGTAAAACTATGAGTTACTTGTGAACACTTTCTTCCTTAAGCCATAACTGAAACATTACCTTAATTTTTCACTGAACTTTACTTAACCCCCCAGTGCCAACAGTAGAATTAACCCTCAGTATTTCCACACTCATGCCCTTGCCCTTTCATCCTCAGCCAGTGATAACACTGGCTAAATAAAAGCACCAAAAGGCAAGCGCTAAGAATTACAATCCCTGTAGGCACCCCCTGATCCAGGAGAAATAGATGAAGAAAATACTGGCCCTGATTAATCAGAGCCGCTTAAAGAGCCTATTATTGTGGAGGAAGTCTTCACTAAATGAAATATGGAGTTATGCTCATAGGAACTGGAGAATCAGGATGAAAGATCCAAAAAAGTGTTTTAAAAGAAAAGGAGGATAAAATTTATAACAGTTTAGTAAGACTCAAGTTGAAGTTTGAGTATCTTCAGTGTACTGTAGATATAGCTGTGAATAATGAAGCCCTTATATTAAAAAGGTAATAAGTTGCTGCTATTTATCCAATTTTGTCTAATTCGGGTTTGGAGCTTCATTTACAGACAGCGAGTCAGGCATCCTATTTAGGGTTGGAATCCAATTCTAATCTGTGTTCGATCTATCTATCTATCTATCTATCTATCTATCTATCTATCTATCTATCTATCTATCTATCTATCTATCTATCTATCTATCTATCTATCTATCTATC